AAAGAGGAACTCATGCTAATTCTTTCATTCAGCTACAAAAAGCAATGATTTTAATCTGTAGAAAATTTAATGTAAAGGAATCATGTTAGAATATTAAGTTGTGCCAGGATGAATGAAATGATCAGGTTTGTCCTTTAATACCAATTTCATAGTTGTCTTGGAAGAAAGTTTGGAACAGGAAAAGACTGAGGGCAGGGGACCAATGAGGAGGTATCTGCAATAGTGTGGGAACAGTGATGAAGGCCTGAGGCAGAGTGGTGGCTCAGTCAGTGTAAAGAAGGGGACAGCTATGAAGTATATTGTGGAGGGAGAATCCATAAGATATGGTGACTGATTGGAGATAAGAGGTGAAGGAAAGGAGAGATGACAATGATTGTGAAATTTTGAACCCAGGTGATTGTAAAGTCAGAGCCCTTAACAGAAATAGGGAAGTTAGGGAAATGGCGGGGTGGGAGAAAAAGGTAGACATAATAATTAGATGATCCAGTGACATTGAGCGTGAGATCTATAGCAAGACTTCCAGGCTTAGTTGGTGAGAGGGATGAGCTCTGGGGCTTCCACCCTGTTGGACCACTCTACAAAGGGCAGAGTGGATGTCCTTGTGATCAGGACCCTTGGAGACAGACCTAGCACAGCTGATCTTTTGTTGATAGTAGCCAAAGGTACTGTCTTCTCCAACAGTGCTGATGGGCAGATTGGATGACCTAGGGCAAAGTAGACACACAGAAGTCTGCTGGAGCCAGATCATACCATCTTGAGTTCTATTGTTAAATTTTTAATGTGAGCATTTACACCAAGGAAATAAGCAAATTCTATAAATTGGGACTTGATTTATTGTTTTTATAATCTAGATTTAAGAAAGTGATGAAGAAAATGTTATTAATTAATGCAGATTAAACTTTAAAATGTACTATGGGCATTCCCCCCCCCCCCGCTCCAAGAGCCAATTATTAAACATTTACCAGCACCCTCCTGACATTACCTAATGTTGTAGTGGATTCTTGGCCAAGGTTTCCAAATTCAGTCCCTGGCTCTGGGACCTCCATCCTTGAAGGGCCATGAATGGCAAAACAAAATAGGTCATGGGACACAAGGTTTAAGGTCAGCAATGGTAAGGACTGAGGCAATGCTGTGATTTAATGACAATTTAGAGTCAGGAGGACCTGAGTTCAAATCCAGCCTCAGACACTTGACAATTACTAAGACACAGCTTACTAAAAAGCTATGTGACTCTGGGCAAATCAGTTAATCCTGATTGCCTTGCAAAAAAAAAAATGTTAACAATTTATATGTTCTGTTTGTTTTTTGGTGAGGTAACTGGGGTTAAATGACTTACCCAGGGTCACACAGCTAGTGAGTATCATGTGTCTAAGACTGGATTTGAACTCAAGTCCTCCTGACTCTTAGGGCCAGTGCTCTATCCACTGCGCCATCTAGCTGCCCCAACAATTTAGATGTTAACAATGACCATTCAATGACAAAGAGAAGAGCAGGTTTCGAGGTGAGGAGACCCCTACCTTGGAGTCCCAGAACAGTTGAGGATGGGGCATTCAGCCCTACTGGGTGAGGGACCAATATGGCTCTACATCTGTGATCCTAGGTGAAACACCTGTGTGACCTCAGACAGTTCAACCTGTTTCTTCATTTGTAAAATGGTAATTGGGCAAGATAATATATACAGTCCTGAGGCAATCTTTGTAAAGTGCTTAGCACCATGCCTGGCACATAGTAGGCATTTAATAGGTGCTTATTTCCTTCTTTCCTCCCTTCCACCCTTCCTTCTTTCCTCTCTCTCCCCCTCTTTCCCTCCTTCTCTTCCTGCCTTCCTTCCTTCCCTCTTTTTTCCTTCCTTTCTTCCTTCCTTCCTTCCCTCCTTCCTCCTTTCCCTCCTTCCTCCTTTCCCTCCTTCCTTCTTTCCTTCCTTCCTTCCCTCCTCCTTTCTTTCCTTTCTTCCCTCCTTCCTTCCTTCCTTCCCCACATGTGCTCTATAAGCTTGACACCTCTTCCCCTTGAACTCTATGTATTCACAGAGGAGTGTGTCACAGACTTTTTGGGGAACAAGGGAAGTATTTTATGCCAACTGTTCTTCCTGCCTCACTTTAGTAAATACCCTCTTTCTAAAAGCTACTTAAGGCAGGCTAAGTTTATGAATTGATAATCTTAAGGGGAAGCACACCAATGGGGGCTTTTGAGCTATAGCTTTTGAAAAGACTCTCCTCATGCCTATCAATTGGAGAATGGTTGAATAAGCTGTGGTATATGAATGTAATGGAATATTATTGTGCTATAAGAAATGATGAGCAGGCAGATTTCATAAAAACTTGGAAAGACTTGTATGGACTGATGCTGAGTGAAGTGAGCAGAACCAAGAGAATGTTGTACACAATAATTGCCACATTGTGTGATGACTAACTTTAATAGACTTAGCCCTTCTCAGCAATGCAAAAATCTAAGACATCTCCAAAAGTCTCATGATGGAAAATGCTATCCACATCCAGAGAAAGAACTATGGAGTTTGAATGCAGATTGAAGCATACTATTTGCTATTTTTATTTTCTTCTGTTTTGTTTTGTTTCCTCTTTCTTGTGGTTCCTTCTGTTGGTTCTACTTCTTCCTTACGACATGACTAACGTGAAAATATTTTTAATAGGAATGTATGTGTAGAACCTATATCAGATTGCATGCTGTCTTGGGAAGGGAAGGGGAGAAAAATTTAAAACTCAAAAGCTTATGGAAGTGATTGTTGAAAACTAAAAATAAATTAATAGAAAATTTTAAAAAGGGGAAAAGATCTAAGTGTACAAAAGTATTTATAAGAGCTCTTTTTGTGGTGGCAAAGAATTGGAAATTGAGGGGATGCCGATCAGTTGGGGAATGGCTGAACAAGTTGTGGTATGTCAATGTAATGGAATACTATTGTACTATAAGAAATAATGAGCAAGTGGACTTCAGAAAAACCTGGAAAGACATACATGAACTGATGCTGAGTGAAGTGAGCAGAACCAGAAGAACATTATACACACTAACAGCAATATTGTGAGATGATCAACTACAATTGACTTAGCTCTTCACAACAATAAAATCATCCAAGATAATTTCAAAGGACTCATGATGGAAAATACTATAAAAATGAATGTTAAGAATTATCTTTACATGTATTTAGAAAAAAAATAAAATACTATTTAAAAAGAAAGAAGAAAATATTATTTAAAAAGAGAAGAAAAGACTCCCCTCCCAAGTCCTTAGGGCTCTTCTAGAGCCCTGAAGATACATAATAGCCAAGTTCTGGACACCCAGCTCCTCAGTGGGAGTGGGATTTGGGATAGTTTGCTCAGACCATGTGCTATATAAATGGGGGTGGGGGCAAGGTATATTGGGAGATAACTGGCATTTCTTTTTAAAAGGCATTGACAAAACTTAAAGAAAATGAGGTAATTCATGGGTATTTCTATATCTAGCCCTGTGGATTGCATTGCTTATTTTCCCTTGGGACAGCTATCCTGTGGCAATTTCTCTGCTCCTTAGTGGGAATGCCAAGAAGTGTGAGCTAAGCCAGTAGGACAGGAAATGACCTTTCACCATCATTGAAGTGGGACTGCCCACAGCCCTCAAAACACAACTACTGATAACTCCCATCCTTTCCCCCTCACCATGGGAACTTGGTGCAGGTCCTCATCTCCTCATGCATGGACTATTGCAATAACCTTCTGATTGTCTCCCTGCCTTAGTCTATCCCCAAACCAGCCCATTCTCCACTTGGCTACCAAAGTGATTTCCCTAAAATGTTGGTCTAACAATGTCTTCCCCTACTCAAAAAACTCCAATGGCTCCCTATTGCCCCGAGGATGAAATAGAATGGACAATCACCTGTTGGCTACTCAAACCCTTCACAATCTGGCCCCTCCTTCCCGTTGTGGTCCGCCATCATTCACTTCTTGTTATTCCTTACACACAACACTCCATGCCTTTTCTCTGGCTGTCCCAAATGCCTGTCTCCACTTCTTTGTCTCCATTTTCTGGCTTCTCTGGTTTTGTTTTAGTCTCTGCTAAAATCCTACCCTCTTCAATGCTGATGCCTTCCTTCAGAGATGATTTCCAGTGTGTTTTGTATGTAACTTGTTTGTATATAGTTGTTTCCATTTCTCTCATTAGACTATGAGCTCTTTGAGAGCAAGGATTATTTTTGCCTTTCTTTGTATCCCCAATGCTAACCACAGCTCCCGATACATAGTAAGCTCTTAATAAATGCCTGTTGACCCAATTTGACTTGGCCTTCAATGCAACATTTTAGTACCTCCAACAATGTGCTCATCTCAGTGCTAAGTACTAGGAGAAACAAGAATGAATATTTCTGTAATGCTTTAAGGTTTACAAGCATTTTTCATGACAGCCCTATGAGATGGTAAATGTAAATAAGAAATGGTCTCAGGCTTCATGGAACTTATATCCTAATGCATAAGTATAAGAGAAAGCCATGGTTTATCCCATAAAACAATATGAAGTCTCTGTTCCACACAATTCAATGATGGAACATTATTCTTTTAGGCCTTCCTCCAAGACCTCACCATGGTCTCACAAAGAGTACCAATGGGGACAGAATTTGCACTCCATGCCATGAAAAAGTAGGCCAGGGAGTTAAGAACTGATTCACCAACAATGAGGTAATATCTGACTTTTATTAGCAAATCATTAGTTCAAGCCAGAAGCCTAATTAAGAATAAAGTGATCACCTTATAAGCAAAGCTACAAATACCACCCCCAGGACACTTGGAAGACCTTCAGGAAAATTTGACAACCACAAGCAAACATAAAAAAACCTTCACCTTGGGGGTGACCTTGGAAATTATATCAAAAACCCTATTGAGTAGGTGCCACTTGTAACAAGGAACAGTGTGATAGTTGCTAGGATGAATTAGGGGTTGATTAGCTCATGGATCCTGCTCTCTCAGGCCCATTTAGGACCCAGGACTCCTCGCCATAGGGGATCCACTCAGACTGTGCTAATTCATTCTCTTGGGCAGGGCAGCAGAAACGCGAGACTGCAGCTGCAGGAGGTCCAGATGCACATTCCTCTGCAGGATGGTGCCGCTGCACAACAGGGCCCCATGTAGGGCCCCGAACAAACCACAGGTGAACACATCCTGTCCTGGAAAGCAGAAGCAAAAGCAGGGTCATGCGAGGGCTAAGCCAAGTAGGATGGCAAGCCTGCTTCTCAGCCAGGGAATTCAGAAGGCTGTGCCTAAGCTCTGGGAGAAGACGAAGGATTCCTGGGGTCTAAACTGAACTCTGCTCCCACCTCCCTGGAGTACATTCTCTCTGCTTTTCTGGAGAAACCAATGAGAGTCTGGGCAAAACAGCTGCTGCTGAGTGAAGATGCAAGAGGGACCCAAGAGCCAAAGGGCTGGTCTATGCAAGCCCACTTCTCACTCCTTCCTTCATTGTTCTTCCCTTCCCTGGAGCCCCACAGGAATTACTGTGCAGTGTACAGGACTGTAGAGGGAGGGCCTGGACGGGGTGAAGGGATTGAGGTTCTTAACGCATGTCAGGGGGCCTAAGGACTTGTAGAAAATTCACATCCTAGAGTACTGAGACATCATACCTGTTAGGCAGAGATTTGGGATGGGGCTCTGGGCCCGAATTGTAACCATTACATGGGGTTGTAGACGTCTGAGGTTATGGTCAGTCCCATAGGTTTGTCCATGGGAGGCGGCCAGGCAGAAGTTTTGAGTGAGTGGACACCCTGCCGATATGCTCTCTACCTAAGCGGGCAAAGAAGAAGGCTGCAGCGTGGAAGTCCCGTCAGACCCCAGATTCCATCATCTCTACTCCCTTTCTCTCGAATCTGTATCACTCCAAGGTGAACCAGAGAATTCTGGCCAAGACAGCCACCTGAAAGGGAGGTAGGATGCCCAGCTTCCCCTCTATCCTCAGTCAGCAAAATCCTAAAGTTTGCATAAGATTAAAAATTGTTGTTCAGTTGTATCCCACTTTTCATGACCCCATTTGGGGTTTTCTTGGCAAAGCTACTGGAGTGGTTTGCCATTTCCTTCTCCAGCTCATTTGACAGATGAGGAAACTGAGGCAAACATGGTCAAGTGACTTGCCCAGAGTTATATTTGAACTCATGAAGATGAGTCTTCCTGATTCCAAGCCCAGTGCTCTGTGCACTATGGCACCACCTCACTGAAACTAAATAATAATCAAGAAATCCAATGGAAAAACTATAGCAAGTGACATCTTTTGCCCCAAAAGAGCAGAACAAGTCAGCTAGAAGCCTACAAGCAACAGGAAAAGGGCCCTCAAACAAAGCAAGAGCTTGAAATCAGAGATGGATCCTACAAGGTTCTATGCCCACAGGCAGCAACAGGGAGGGGATGCTCCCTTGAGAAAGTCTTGGAGTTGGAGCCTTGGAAACACAAGAGTTACAGCATGTAGCGATTGGCATGGGTGCCCAATGCTCAGAGAAGGACAGCACTGACCCCAGGCTCTGTTGTCCCTAACATTCTGTCCAGAAACTCCAAAGAGGGCCCTGGATACCCAATGCCCTGAACTTCAGTGATCTAGGGGGTCTTAGCCTTGAGATGTGGAGGTCAGTGCAAGAACCCAGGGTGACACCAGTCAGATCCCACCAGAAAAGGCAGCAAGTAGCAGAGTCTTGACACAAAACCCCAATTCAGAAATAAAAGGTAGATGGATGAACAAATCAAAGAAAATGCCAACTAGTATCAAAAGTTATTCCAAATCTAACTCCATAAAAACTTTAAGAAAAGGAAAAAATTTATTTTTCATGAAGACTTCATGAATACTTAGAAGAAATGAAGCAAGAAATTTTTTTTTCCAAATGAAATAATAGTTCTAGGGGAAAGAATTAGGGAGAGAATGAATAACTCAGAAGAGAAAGTATCAAACCTTCCCCAAGAAATGAAATTCCTAAAAACTAGAATAGACCAAAGAGAAATCAATGACTCCATGAGACAGCAAGAAATATTAGAACAAAATCAAAAGGTTGAAAATAAAAAGAAAATGTAAACTATCTGATATCAAAAACAACTGACTTGGGAAAACAGATCCAAGAGATAGTTTAAGAATCATTGGACTTAGGGGCAGCTAAGTTTCGCAATGGATGGAGCACCAGCCCTGGAGTCAGGAGGACCTGAGTTCAAATCTGGCCTCAGACACTTGACGCTAGCTGTGTGACCCTGGGCAAGTCACTTAACCCCGATTGCCTCACCAAAAAAAAAAAAATCATTGCACTCCCTGTAAATCATGAGTAAAACAACAGCAACAATAATCTGGACACAATATTTCACGAAATCTGTTAAGGTAAGCCAGAGCCACGGAAGTTTATTGTTTCACTCCTTTCACCCCAAGATGCTTATTTCTCCTCAGGACCATACTCTTCTGCCCTGAGACAAAGAGAAAGGTGTTAAGACTGGCCTTCATCTCTACCACTCACTTCTTTTACCCACCCATCCCCTCCCTCCCTCTATATGCCTATTCATTCCAGTACCTTTCCATCCAACTGAGGGTGCAGTTTCATTAAAACAGACATGGAAGCATCTAGGAAGGAGTTCTTCAGGGCTTCGTAGTCACTCCCTCTCTTGCCCTGGGGCTCATCCTGCCATTCCCCAAACCACTTATAGAGGGGCAGGCAACATCATCATCAGTGTTGATTGGTCTGAGGAGACAGAGTTCTGGTCACTGTACCTGGTGCTGGGCCTATCCTACCCTCTTCCCTTCCCCTCTTCCATGACCTGTGTCCCACCTGGGAACCTGTCCTCCTATGCTGGTTTTTTGGCTGATGCTGATGTGATGTAGAAAAAGGGAATGTGTTCCACAGCTTGGTCCCTGGATAGGGACAGGTATCTCTCCATCCTGTGGGGAGGAAAGAAGAGATGAGCCACATGACTGGTTCTTCTACAGTTTGAATCAGTGAAGCCTCTGCGGTGGCATCTTAACCCTGTCACAAGAAGGGGACAGGAATCACTCTCCCCAAACAGGACCGGTTAGTAAAAGAGGAGCCTGTGAATCCTTGGATCCAAAAAAAGCTGCCAGAGACTCAATCGAGGTCAGACCAACAACTGATCCTGGCACCCAAGGAAAGAGCAAGATGGCTTAGGGGATGGAAGGGAAAAGGTACAGGAGATTCCAGATGGAGGCCTGGCCTCAGAGAGGAAAAGTGAGCAACTGGCTTACTGGCAACTAGAGACCCCGGGCTCTGCCCAACTTTTAGAAAGAGGAGGAGGATCAAAGGTTACCCCCCAGCCCCAACTTGAGTCCTTTAGGGACTCTCTCCTGAGAAGTAGGCAGGAAGCTATTTCTCAGCCAGATCTTAACAAGATGAGCTCTGCTGCCTTACCAGGTGATCATCTTACACTTTGTCCACATCTGTGTCAAAGTAGACAAAGTAGTTCTTGGCTTCCAGACCCAGGTCACTCTTGGAGCCCTGGAGGCAGATGAAAATACAAAGTGTAGACAGACTGTGCTGCACCATGCCCAGCTGGGTCTGTACACCTGTCAAAAAGACCACAGTGACCTCAGGACCCAGAGACAGACTGGTAGCCATGTATGCACCTATAGGTTGCGTTTGTCCTTTGTTCTCGAAGAGGGCCATGACATCCAGGAAATGATGACATGAATTGAAATTGACTTTGATTTGAGTGAGGGAGGGCTGTGCAAAGTCATCATCAGCCTCACTTTCTCCTCCAGAGTCATCTGGGTCCAGTGGTAAGATATTTATCAGGACAACTGGAGATGGCTCAGGATGCAGTGGGAGACCCTGGCCCTTTTTAACTAAGGTCCTTTCAGGTTCTCACTTTAAGTGAGGCCTCTTTAAGAAGTGAGTCATGGAGGATAGCTAGGTGGCACAGTAGATAGAGCTCCAGCCTTGGAGTGGAGGACCTGAGTTCAAATTCAGCCTCAGACACTTGAAACTTACTAGCCGTGTGACTCTGGGCAAGTCACTTAGCCCCAGTTGCCTCACCAAAAAGCAAAAAAAAAAAAAGTGAGTTAAAGGATGGCCTCTTTCATAAAAAAAAAAAAATCAATTTGGGAGGAGAAGACCCTTGGTTTGCTGGCCAAAAGAGAAAGTTACTACTTATATTCAATGTGCCTCTAGATGGGGTTGGCCAGAGTCATTGACCTCAGAGAAATCTGCTTGGTGGTTGAAACTTACCCCTCTGACCTGCGGGACAGCATGCTGGACACCCTTGCTTCTTCTTGGGAGTGGATTAGGCTATCATACTGCCTTTCTCAAATGTTGTTTTTCTGTATTAGCCCCAAAGACTCCTCTCTCTTTCCATTCTTCTGCATCCCTCCCTTCCTTGCCCCTCCAACAGCCTGGGCTGTGTCAGAATCCATCTGGGACAGACCCAATGTTGGGAAGGAAGACCTACTCTTCAACAGTCCAGAAGCATTCATTCCCAAACCAGAAGGTCAGTCAACGAGCAAGCATTTATTAAGTGCCTACCCTGTGCCAGGCATTGTGCAAAGCACTGGTGCTACAGAGAAAGGCAAAAAACAGTCCCTGCTCTCATGGAGCTCATGGTCTAATGGAAGAGAACACATGCAGACAACTATGTACAAACAAATATACACAGAGAAAACTAGAGATAGTTAACAGAGGGAAAGCACTAACATTAAGGCGGATTGAAAAAAGTCCACCAGGGTGCCCTCGCCTCTTTTCTACCCTTGAACCCTCCCCCTCAAAAACATCCAGAACCCATCTCATGACCTGGATTCGATTCGAGTCACCAACTGTACTGATTCTGGAAGGTTGAACTTACCAGCAGACCTTACCATCTACCATGCTGCTAAAGCTTACATAACGTGCCCTCCGCCAGTTCCCCAGGCATCTAGCTTACTGATTGAACCTAAGGACCCTTGGGACCTGCTACCAGGGCCTCTCAGGACCCTTGGGACTTCCAGACCTTTTCCAGTCTTTTATGTATCATTTCCCTCAATTCAAGTGTGAGCTTCCAGAGGGCAAGGACCATCTTGCTTTTTCTATTTGGTAGCCTCATAGTAATTTCTTAATAAAAGCTTTTTTCATCTAGTCATTCATCCCCTAGGGAAGCTACTAGCAAAGACAACACCAAAAACCCAAGGGCATGCCTTCCTAAAAGTACAAAGCTCAAGGAGAATTTTTCAATGACCTTTGTGGAGGGTGCAGTTTCTACTTCTGTCCTGGCCCAATGTCTGTTACCCTCCTAGGAGATAAAGGGACTTGAGGAAGGCTTACCTCTTTTCTCTCCAGGTCATCAAGGAAATGGAACCATTCTTTTAACAAAAGGACAAGGGGTTGCATTGTAAAAATGACAATGTGCCAGGGTATTTCTAGTGCTTACAACAGTGCCTGGTACATAGTAGGTGCTTAATAAATGTTTGCTGCCTGACTAAAAAAATATCTAAAGAGGTAGAGGGAAATCTTCACCAGTGGTCAAGAGGTTAGAGTCCAAGGTTAGCGATTAGAAAGTGAAAGAAACTCACTCAGCAGAAAACACTTCAAACTAAGTAGCAGATATAATATTCTTCCCAAGAAGGAAGCTATGTAAGTGAATGGTGTATGCCATCGCTTGAAAGACCATCTGGGAAGGTTAGAGAAACAGAAGAAAGTGGTCAATGAGGACTCGCCTGAGAAGTAGGGAGGTGGCTATTTCTTGACCAGATACTAACAAGATAGAAATCTGCTGTCTTTCCAGGTCATATATCCAGGATAGCATGAAGCTCCGAAAACATGTTAGGCTATAGTAGTCACCATAGGCTCATGTGAGGTCAATATGATATACACACACACAAACAGACACACACTTACTTATATGTGTATATGTAATATATATTATAGCATATATATGCTGTATTTTATAATTTATATATGTATTTACATATAAATGTGCACTACATTATAGCATATATGATGTGATATATATTTTATATGTGTATTTACTTATATATGTATCTATATTATATAGAATGCATTACAGCAATATATGCTATGATATATGAATATATACTGCATTATAGCATATATGATATAATATTTATACATATATTTACTTATATATGCATGTCTAGATAATACTTTGTAGCATATATGTGCCATAATAGGTGCTGAAAGATAACATATTTTATACTTATATCTGAAGCTATTCCAACACATATCAGAAAGCCGAAAGAACACAAAGAACTCCTTGTTTGCAGTTTAGTTTGAAGAACTCATGTTTGTGTCTGTGTCTTGTCTGTGTCTGTGTCCGTGCCTGTCCCTGTGTCTTGTCTGTGTCTGTCTGTGTCTTGTCCGTGTTCATGTGTTGTCTGTGTCTGTGTCTTGTCCACGTCTGTGTCCGTGTCTTGTCCATGTCTGTGTCTGGAGTCCTCCAAACTACTCTCTGGTCACTGCACCATTCTTTGAATTACAGAACAACATACCAGGACATCTCTAGCGACTTCAGCTTTTGAATGACTTCACTATTATTTACAGCTGAATTCCAGGTTGGCTGAGAAGGAAATGAAGCCCACTGGGTGGGCATAGCTCTACAAAGAAGCAGAAAAATTGGCCAAATAGGAAGTTCCTTTGGGTCTCCCTGCCTGCATCCCTTTCCTCCAGATTGCCTCCAATGAAGTATGTCCAGTAAAGGGCATCTGAGATTCTGTCCCAGCCCAGGAGGCCAGGGTGAGCTAATGTGAGCATGTGTGTTTCACTTTTGGTTCTGCTCATACCTTCTGTATAATATTAACCACAGTGGACCTATTAAAAAGGAGGGCACCCTAGTGGACTTGTTTCAATCCCCCTTAATGTTGGTGCCTTCCCTCTGTTTATTACCTCTAGTTTTCTCTGTATATATTTGTTTGTGCCTGGTTGTCTGCATGTGTCCTCCTCCATTAGACTGTGAGCTCCATGAAACCAGGGACTGTTTTTTGCCTTTCTCTGTAGCACCAGTGCTTGGCACAGTCTCTGTAGCACTTAAAAAAGAAGTACCAACCCTTCTGAACTAAGCAGCTTATATACCAAAAGCATGAGAAATGATTAAAGAAATGAGAAAGATTAAAGCAAAGAATCAGATTAAACCTTCAAAGGAATTACTGAGACTGGGTGACGCAGGGTTCATGACCCAACTATGCCTTAGGAGATGGTATGGCACAGGGAATGTGGCTTTGGACGTAGCAGCAGCAAGACCTAGGATTCAAATCCCCTGCCTCCACCACTAGATGTATGACACTGGGCAAGTCATTTCACCTCTCTGTACCTTAGTTTTCTTATCTGCAAAATGAGAGGGTTGGACCCTGAGATCTAAAAGATCTCTTCAAGCTCTAGATTTATAGTGAACCTTATACAAAAGGGGCAGGCTGGGTTAAAGGGGTAGAGGAAGAACATGAGTTAAGAAGGTGCACTACTCATGGAAGGACATCGAAGGATGGCGGGGGGGGGTGTGATTGGGACAAAGATCAATGAAGGCATTCTAACCACATCCCTCCACCAAAACTGCTCTCTCCAAAGTCCCTCACGATCTCTTCATTGCCAGATCTAATGGCCTTTTCTCAATCTAGCCCCACTACTGGGTCCTTCCCTCTGGCATTACCTCCAATTTACATGGTACAGATCTCGTTTATGCAGAGCGGTTCATATGCAACCTCTCCCATTAGAAGGTGAGCCCCTTTAGAACAGGGACTGCACTTTTGCCATTCCACATGTCCCCAGCCAAATCTGATGCTCTTTTCTTAGTCCTTATCCTGATCAATCTAGCTGCTTCATTTGTTGCTGGTGACCACCATCTTCCCCTGGACACTCTCTCCCTCTCTCCTCTCTGGGTGGTTTTACTGGGTGACTGCTCCTCCTCAGCCTGTCAAATCTGACTCTCTTCTCCACAACATCTTTTGCATCTGATCCCTTCTCTCCTCTCACGCAGATCCCACCCTATTTCATCACCTGCCGAATCATTACAAAAGCCTCCCAATTAAACTCCCTCTCTTCTCTGGCTGCGGTAGTCATTGATCCCACAAATCCCTGACAAAATCAGACTTCCTTAAGAGTAGATCTACCCACGTCACCGTCTCAGCCAACTCCAGTGGCTTCCCATTGTGTCTAGACCAAATCTGAACTCCTCTGCTTAGCTTTGAAAACCCTGCACAAGCTGGTCCCAACCTCTTTCCAGTCTTATTGGGTACTACTTCCTCTCCCAATCAGCTGAGCTGCTGTCTTCTCTGTTCCTCTATCACTTCGTTTGCCATCTACATGCTTGTGCCTTGCCATCACTCTGTGGGGAATGCATTCCCTCCTCATCCCTACCTCACAGACTCTGTCATTGGACCACCTGCACAAAGCCTTTCCTGATTCCCATCCTTGCCCCCAATCTCTGAGGCCCAGCCTTCCAACCTCCCTTGTATCTGACTTCTTTGTACTCATTTGCATTCATCCTCTTTGTTTTGTACAGACTTACATGCATTCTTATTGTCTCTCCCACTAGAATGTAAGGTTCTTCAGAGTAGGAATGGTTTCATTCTTCATATTTCTGTCTCCAGGGACTAACACCATGTTCTTCCTACCTGCAGCACAAATTCCCTAGCTAGGCACTCCCCACCCTGCTCACACAGCACAAATCAGAATTAGGTAAACCAGAATTCAAGGATATATGAAAAACACCATAGGGACTCAATGAGAGAACCTGAGAAGTGTTCCCCAGGGAGGTCCTCATTAACTATTAGAAGGAGCCTCCAAGGTAACAGGAAAGTTGTAGAAAGAGAATCATAGACCAGAGATTGTAGGTAGCTTAGTGATCAACCCATTCAGTTTAAGGTTGAGGAAGCTTAGGTCAAGCAAGTGGATGACCTATCCAAGTGGCAAAGCTGGAGGTCCAGTCCATATTCTGGCTGCATGTCATGGATTCTTCCCATCATCCCAGGATGGGCGTTTAAAAGATGGACAGGCAATAGAACAGGAAGTACGTATTGTGAGAAGAAATTAATGTACACAGAGAAGAATGAGAAAGACTAGAGAAATGGCTGCTGGGGATGCCAGGAACAAGGCTGTGGGAAAAGAAAGCTGCCACCCAACGCCTAGGCTTCAACCAAATCACAAACGCCCCGCCTGGGCTTAGGGTTCAGGGGAGTTGAGAGACCAGGACAGTGGGTCTTCTCACATTTCTCCCACCTAAAGAAACAATTATGGGACATTCTGAGTCAGGGAACAGAGCAAAACATTTCCCGAAGACCGGAATGACATATCTAAAGTAAAACATTGTAACTGTTCTGAAAAGAAAGAAAGGACTAGAGGCTTTTACCTGGCAAACAGTGGCCTCTCTCAGGCAATAAGTGCTCGTAGGTATTAAATATTGCTGCATTGGAGATCACAGTGGGACAAAAAACATTGACCAATTCTTCACCCTTCCTCAAACTGACACCTGCAGAACAGAGGAGACTGGGTGAGGTCTGGAGAGCTCAGAAATCTTCCCAGAACAGAGAGGAAGTCCCAAGTATTAGAGAGCAGGATCCCCCTGGGCATCCATGGCCTTACCCCAGGGGAGCTTTACCATGACTCCAAGGTATGTGATCAATCACTCAGAGGGAGAGAAGATGGCTTTGGCTTCAATAGCCAATCCTGGAGCTTCTCCACAGCCCTTAGCAGAGTATCTTAGCACGTAGGAAACCTTCAATAATTATTTCACCAATGAAGGATTTGGTGGAGCTCTGCTCTCTGATGGGTCCCATCAAAGCTACACTCCTCACCTCCCTACCTTGGCTACAGATCACAGCATTCAATTCCCATGTGGCAGCTGGCTCTGCAGCCCATTGCCTGCACCCTGGAACCTCTACCCAATCCTCCTTCCTTGTCTCACTTTTCTGCGCCTGTCCCACCTGCCCCCACTCTCATGATGGGACCCCCAGCTCTCACCACAAGCTCTTCCAGCAGAATCTGGCAGCACACTCTCCACTGTTGCCCTGGTAAGGACTGCACCCCCAGCCCGCTGAATCACTGAGATAATGTGAAAAGGGATTTCACTGGCGTCTCCTGAGGATAAAATGCCCCTTCCAGGAAGTGGTTGATTAATATGGCATGCATAGAGAAACTGGCATTCTCTGGGTACACACCTGTGGGAGACAAATAAGGTGAGTGTTCTAAGGCTCGGCATTCATATCCTACAGGCTAAGATGGTGATTCCTTCCAAAATAAGCTTCCTCAGTTTACCTCTAGGAACAGAAGCTCCTCCAATCCCTAATCTATCAGTGAACCTTGCCACCAACCAAACCTGGGGTACTGGGAAAGTTCTCCCTCAAGATTGCAATGATGTCTTATTTTGGGACAGCTAGGTGGCGCAGTGGATAGAGCACTGGCCCTGAAATCAGGAAGACCTGAGTTCAAATCCGGCCTCAGACCAAACACTTGACACTTAGTAGCTGTGTGACCCTGGGCAAGTCACTTAACCCCAATTGCCTAAAAACAAAAAATCAAAAACAAAAACAAACAAACAAACAAAAATCCTCTGGAAAGATTGCAATGACGTCTTATTTAAAGATGACAGCCACATCTCACAAGACAGCAAGATTGCCAGGGCATAAAGTGAAAGGAACTTCTATGGGGTAGAGTGACAAATGACCAGCCTTCTTGATCACAGACTCATAGGAGTCACCATTCTCCACTCATGTCCAGCACAGCAAGGAAGAAACAACCTGAAAACCAAGAGAGCAGCAGCCTGTTCATGCTAGCCACCCCCTCCCGACCTGGCTGCTCCTTTTACCCCCAGTAACCCCAGAGCCCAAGGTCCATACCATAGGTGGGATGGATGTAGCTGAGCACAGTTTTGAGGTCCTGGGAGGCAGACAGCTGGCTGAGCATGTCCACTAAGCTCTGAGTGGCTATTCTCAAGAAGGGGGAGAAAAAGGCCAGCACCCCCAACCTGTCCAGCAGCCTCACCACGGGCAAAGGGATGAGCTTCAACAGGGCCACATGAGGGATTCCTTTTGCTACCTCCTGGGGAAAGAAAGGAACCCAGGGAGAAAGAAGTTACTGCATCCCTGTTCCTGCCAGCCCAAAGAGCTGAGGCCCCAGTGACATGGGCCAGATTTCAATCACTAAGCAGTCTGGAGAAGATGCATATTCTGAATTTAAAGGGGTGTCCCTCCCAGCATTTCCCAAGTCATTCTTAGAAAGATTTGCATTTTGAACATTTGACTCATTAATCCTTAACTTAGTAAGAACCAGTGCTGTTCCTGGTGAACACATTGACCTGAGCCCTGCCCTTCTCTACTCAAAATAAAACTGGGGAGTGGGAATGATTGTTTCAGGGTTTTTCCACCACAACTTGGGTCTCCTTTTCCTGTCATGGACCCTACCCCCTCTGTCCAGTGCCCTCAGGCTGTGCCCCCTCCCACTCTGACTGCCCACAGACCACAGAAGGCTCATTCTCCACAGCAGGGTTCAGTGCTCCCAACCTGGCCTGAGCCCTCCTTCCCTCCATCAAATCCCCTTTCTTCAGGTCCCTGTGAGGTGACAGAAACTAATCTAATAAACTAGAGCCTACTAAGACTTGTTTAATAATAATACCTTTTAGATGGCACCTACTATGTGCCAGGCACAGGGCTGAGAGCTTTACAAGGATTATCTCATTTGATCCTCATGACAACCCTGGGAAGTAGGTGCTAGTATTATCCCCATTTTACAGATGAAGAAACTGAGGCAGACAACTGTTAAGTGACTTGCTAGGTGCTATACATCAATGTATCTTCATGGGAGCCCCCAGTGCTTATGAAGGAGGAAATCCCTGAGGTCATGACATGGGAGTGCCAGGCAAACCTACAATGTCCTGATGAGAAGCAGTTGAGGCCAGAATTCTTGTCCCTCCTCAATCTCCCCCCTCCCCCTGTAGGTCGATGTTGGCCCTTCCTGGGTCTCTGCAGGTGGGTGGGAGCCTCCCAGGTCAGCCCAGTCTTACTTTCACCATCTTCATGTGCTTGTCAATGGCAGCTTCTTCATGAGGAAACTTTTCCTTGAGGCCCTGAACATAGGCTTTCTCCCCAGCATATATGGGGAACTCCCTTCTGCTGGTGGGTCCCTCCAGCACCACAACATCAAAGGGAGAGTCCAAGGGAGCCCAGTCCAGCTGCCCCTCTGTGACCTGGTCCAGGACAATGCCACTAAGGCGGCCCTCATTCACCTGTCCTACATAGTGGATTCCTGTCAAATAGTGGCAAGAAATGGGATTACCTCCTTCAAGAACCAGAAAAAAGAAACAAGCTCCTACAGATGAAGCAGCTAAATGGTGCAGTAGACAGGGTCCTGGGCCTCACATTGGGAAGACCTGACTTCTAATCTGGTCTCAGATACTTACTAGCTGTGTGACCTGGGCAAATCAAATGGGGATGCCCAGTGTCAGGTGAGGTCTCTGTCTCCTCACTTAGATTTCTCTTAATTCATGATTGAAGTCATCTGGTACCACTACAGTGCCCCGCCACCACCTTCACTAGAGTCTCTTAACCCTCTAGTCCTCAGAATTTTAGCTGAAAATGGTCTTTCCCATGATCAATCACCTCTTAATTATAAGAGAGAATGGCTTTTTCTCAAGCTTCCTCCTTCTTGACTTCTCTGCAGCCTTTGTCATTATTGAGCACCATCTTCTCCTTGAAACTCTCTTCTCTCTAGGTTTTTATGACATGTCTCTCTCCTGCTTCTCCTCCTTCCTACCTTCTTTTCATTCTCCTTTTCTGGAATTTCATCCGTATATACCCATCAGCCATGGATGCCCCTCAAGGCTCTGTCCTGAACCTTCTCACCTCTTCTCCCCCCATACTATTTCATTTGGTGATCTCATTAGCTTATCTCCATGCAGATGGTTCTTACATCTTTTTGTCCAACCCAATCTCTCTCCTAACTTTCAGTCTTATGTCTCCAACTGCGTATGGGATATTTTGCACTGAATTTCCCCTAGGCATTTTAAACTCAACATGTCCAAAACCAAAATAAACGTCTTTCCTCCTAAACCTTCCCATCTTCTTAACTTCTCTATTATAAATAGTACCAATATCTTCTCAGTCTCCCAGGCTCACAACCTAGGTGTCATTTGGATGATCTTATTGGAAAAGTCTCTAATTTTTCCCCTTTACATATAATGTTGCCTCTTGGTTTTAAACAGATATTATTATTCAGTCAGGTTCAACTTTTTGTGACCCCATTTGGGATTTTCTTGGCAAAGATATTGGAGTGGTTTGCCATTTCCTTCTCCAGCTCATTTTACAGATGAGGAAACTAAGACAAATGGAGTTAAGGGACTTGCCCATGGTCACAGAGCTAGTAAGTGTCTGAGGTTAAATTTGAGCTCAGGTCTTCCTGACTCCAGGCCTAGTGCTCTACCCACTGCACCACCTAGTTGCCCTAGATAGATATTACTTCCTATATTAAGAAAAGGTCCATTTGTTCTTATGTTTTTTTAATATTTTTAACAGAATGATGTCATGCTTTATCAAAAATAATTTTCTATATCTATTGATATAATCACAATTTTTATTGTTCTTGTTATTACTACAGTCTATCATATTTATAGCTTTCCCACTATTGATCCAATCCAGTATTTCTGGCATAAATCCAATGTGGCCACAGAACATAATTTTTGTGATATATTTCTGTAGCCTCTTGGCGAATATTTCATTTAAAATGTTTGTGTCATGTTCATTAGAGATACTGATGTTTTCTTTAGTTTTGACTCTCTCTGCTTTAGACATCAAGACCATATTTGTATCATAGAAAAAATTTGGTAGGATCCTCCTTTTTCTATTTTTGCAAGTAGTTTGTGAAATAATGGATTCCTTTGTCCTTTGAATGTTTAAGAGAAGTTACTCATAAAACCATCTCTTTCTTGTTTTTTTTTTCTTTTGTGAGTTCATTTGTGGCTTATTCAATTTATTTTTCTGAGATTGGGTAACTTAAATTCCCTATTTCTTGTTCTGTTAATCCGGGCTTTCAAATTTTTATAAATATCCATCCATCTCATTTGTCATTTTTGTTGGCATATATTCGAGCAAAATAGTTTCCAATAATAATAGCTAGTGTTTGTATAGCGCTTTAAGGTTTGCAAAGCACTATACAAATATTATCTCATTTTATTCTCACAACAATTTTTTTTTGTTTTTGGTAAGGCAATTGGGGGTAAGTGACTTGCCCAAGGTCACACAGCTAGTACGTGTCTAGTGTTTGGTCGGAGGCCGGATTTGAACTCAGGTCCTCCTGACTTCAGGGCTGGTGCTCTATTCACTGTGCTACCTAGCTGCCCCCTCACAACAATTTTGAAAGACAAATGCTATTATTATCCCCATTTTACTGAGAAAACTGTAGCATACAGAGGTTTGGTGATGTGCCTAGGGTCACATAGTTAGGAAGAGTCTGAGGCTGGATTTGAATTCAAGCCTTCCTGCCTCCAGGTCCAGTGCTCCATTTGTTGTGAATTCTCCTTTTGAATTTTTCATATGGATAATTAGGTTTTGTTCTTTCTTCTTTTAAAAAAATCAAATTAGCCTAAAATAGTGCTTTAAAAAAATCCAGCTCCTAATTTTATATACTAATTCAATTCATTTTTTGCTTTGGATTTTGTTCATCTTTTTTTTTTAAATTTCCAGAATTTCTTCATCCCTTCCTTCTTTCCTTTTTTCTTTCTTTCTTTCTTTCTTTCTTTCTTTCTTTCTTTCTTTTTTTTTCTAAGATTGGGCCTTCCTATCTTACTCACTGGCATCAGTCACTCATCGCCCTGATCCCACTACCAATAAGTATGAGAGCTTTGGCCTGCTCTCTTTCTAACATGGGTCAGTTTACCCCACCCTAGACAGTCTTGTACCCCACCCCAATTCTTATCCCCCTCCCTCATTCCTGTGTGCTTACCAAATTGGCTCTGAACCTAATGTGGATACCCAATCACCAACTCAAAACTGCCAAACTCAAGAAATCCACCAGGCTTAGCTTCCCCTGAGGCAGAGATTTAAGTGGTGCACCACTGCACCTAGCTAACTTGGGGTTGGAGGTTAAATTTATTTTTTTAGGTTTTTTTTGTTAAAATTCATTGATTTTTTTTTCTTTTGTTAAAAAAATGTTTAGGAATATAAACTTTTTTATCTTTCTAAGGACTGCTTTGACTGCATACAAAAAAATTCTGGTTATCTCATTGTTTTCTTTATCTTAATGAAATTATCTGTTGTTTCTATGATATTTTTAACACACCAGTTCTTAAGGATTAAGTTAATTGGTCTTTAATTATCTTTAATAATTTCTTCAGTGGCCCTTTGTTGAATTGTAGTCAGTAAGGATGTGTTTAATATATTTGCTTTTCTGCATTTGTTTATGAAGTTTTTAAGACTTGATACATTGTCAATATTTGTAGAAGTGCCATCCACAGGTGAGAAATAGATATGCTCCTTTCTATTCCCATTCAATAATCTCCAAAGATCTATCATTTTCTAAAATCCTTTTTAGGTCCTTGTTTCTTGTTTATTTTTTGATTTGTCTAATTCTGAAAAGGATATGTTGATTGCCTCTACTATTATAGTTTTATTGCCTATATCTCTCTCTCTTCCCACACTTTACCTGTGTCAAATTCCAGGCTATTCTGATTAAAAGTGTGACTATTGCCACCTTCTTTGGTATGTTGCTCCAGCACCAGGACTCATTTCCTAGTTTTGGCCAGGACAGCTGCTACTACCAGGCCCCTAGTGCCACTACCAATCACCACTGCATCCAGCTGGTCTGGCACCCAGTTGATGGAGAAAGCCGCAACACAAGGGCAGAAGAGAGGGAGTCAGCATCTCAGACATTACCAGGTGTTCAGGAGGTAAGGTATGGGAACAAAATGAGAGTCTCTGACCTCATACAATATGAAAAGCCACTATACCTGTATTGACATTGCTTCTCTAACTCAAAAGCAGTGAGAAATGTCATTGGAATAGGTTAGCCTATTCCAACAGAAAATTTTTCTTATCTACTAAACAAGATCTGAATGAATAGACCAGATTGAGCTAGGAGAGGAAAAGGAAGCTTTAGAACTTGGAGCCCAACAATAATATCATCATGTGATGGACCAGGCATCAGCAGAGGAGAAGGAAAGAAGGTGTAACCCAGTGACTTGCACATAATAGGCAAGGAAGGAATGTTTGTTGAATAATGAGCACAGCTGATGTGTGTGGGTATATGATGACTGTACCTAAATAGAAACTGCTGATAAAGCCTGGGCTGGTGGGAAGCCTTTAAAGGAAATCGGGTACAAACGTCATCCGCATTGTGGTATCAATTCTCATTGTTTATTATATTAGTTATTGCAACTTCAGAAATTAGGCACGAGTCAGAGGTCCATTCAAAAGACCAAAGACCAAAGACTAGATTATACTTTGTTCTCCCCTAAAACATTACTACAGCATTGTACAGATAAGGAAACTGAGGCTCAGAGATGGGATTTGAACCCACGACTCTCTGGACTCCAGAAGCAGAACTCTAGTCCCTCTCCTGTTTGTGTTTCCCTTGCCCCGTACACCTTTCCACACACACACACCTTGCTTAAGGATCCTCCTCTGAGCCTCTGCATCTGACACCAGCGTCCGTGGAGGCCTCCTCATGTCCTCTGTAAGGGATTCTGGCCACCACCTCCCAGGACGAACCTCCAGACCCTGGTCACTAGCAGCGCGACCCCCGCCACCAGAGCCAACGCTGTCCACAGCCACACCATGCTCGTCGCAGCCGGTGTATCTCTTGGTAGGGGAGACAAACACTTCAAGGCTTATTCAGATCTACAATAAACAGAATCATTCTATAAAGGACCTCCCCTAGGCTCCCCATCCCACCCCTCCTGTGGGCCCAGCGCCAGAGCAGGGATCACCTGGTGCCTGCCGCAGACACCTGTCAGCCACCCCCTGATGCTCACTTCCTCCCTGCCCCCGGGCTCCCCCTCCTGAACTCCAGAGTAAGGGATGGCTGAGCGCCAAGTTGGGTCCGAATGGAACACTGAGGTTAGCATCAGAAATTCATCTTCCAGTGGGGCTTCAAAAACTACTCCCAACCACTCTGGGAAGGAGGCAGGAATACGCCAGAGTTACTGCTCTCAGGGAGCTTGTGATCTACCCTGGTATTAGAAATACTTGGGACAAACCAAGAAGACAGATAGATGGAGAGAGAGACAGAGACAGAGACAGAGACAGAGAGACAGAGACAGAGAGACAGGGACAGAGACAGCGATGGAGACAAGATAACATTTATTAAGCACAGTGATTAAGCACTCACTAAATGCCAGGCGCTGTGCTAAGCACTGGGATACAAATAGAAGCGATCTCTGGTCTGTTTCACTTCCACATTGGCTGCCATGCTCTCCTGAGGATTGCTCCACCCTAAGGCCGGCCTTGCAAACCCCCATAGCATGAGGACCCTTCTCAGCTGAACTGCTCTCTAAATTTCCAACCCACCTCCAATCCCCATGGGCTGCCATGCTACCCTTCTTCCCTCTCAATGCCTACCCCCCTTCAGCTCCCCTTTATGTTTTGTTTTCCCCTAATTGACTGTAACTTCTCTAGCATACCATGATGTCTGGCACATAGTAAGCTCTTAGTAAATGCTTTATTCTTCTATCTATTTATATCTGTCTTTTAAAAAAAAAATCTCTGCCCTCAAAGAATTTACATTCTAATGGAGAAAGTCCAGACAAAAAGAGGAGCTGGAAAGCTGAGGAATGAAGGTAGAAAGGGGGATACCCATGTGGGGGCAATGCCTATGAAGGTGAGGTAAAGACTATTAATAGTGAGAAAGGAATTTATCATTTTCATGTTAATGGATATGATACATATAATGAATATACTAATAATTTAGTTTTCTCAAGAACTGCCTCCCTGGCTTGGGAGTCAGAGTTCACAATGCAGCTTAAGCCGATTAATCAAAGCTCTGACAACACTTACAATCACTGGACCTTACGTGGAGCAAATCAAAGATTGAAGAATCTGTTCCCTTCACAAAACTCTGGTAGTCACAACCTCCAAAGACTGGACTCCAAAATCATTGACTTGTGGGATTTCTGGGTTTCTGGTGGGAAACCACTAAATGATTGTTTGTAATCCACCTTCTGCCCTCCTTCCCCAGTAGTGGTTTAAGTATATAACCTGTGCTTTTACTTCAACTAAGAACATTCCTCATTCCGAAACTGATTAATTAAATTACTTGATTACTAGCACTCCCATCTCTAGGTCTGCTTTGTGTGGCTCAGAGCATTCTCAGGTTAGAGACTGGCTCAGGAAAAATCCTGTTAATATTAGTTGGTGTCAGAAGTTTTTAAGGAGTGGACGTAGGGTGAAGCTTGGAGCTCTTCATTACGGGGAGAAGGGACAGTTGCTGCTGGATTTTTTTTTCCAGAAGTCCCAGCTCATTTGACTGACAAGTTCAACGCTCCTGACTCTCGCTCCATTAGGGGTCCCAGCCTCTGATTAAGCCTGGCTTTTCATTGTGAAGAATGCTCCAGAGCTCCTTTTCTTGATCCAGATCACTTTGGTAAGGCCCGTGTGTGTGTGTGTGTGTGTGTGTGTTTTGTTTTGTTTTGTTTTTTGTCCTGTTTTTTGGCACACGGATTTGGCTTTGCATGGGGTCTTTTCTCTTATAATGCAGGGCTAGCTATGGCCTGCAGTTTTTCTCTTCTCTCTTTTATAAATGCAGTCTGAGCTGTGGACTGCAGGGTTTCATTTCTGCACCAGGTAAAATGTTTTTGTGTAAGAGTTGCTTGATCAGTTGGTATTGTGTGCAGTTAAACCAGTTGAAATTAACATTTTAAAGGTGCACTTGGTTAGAATTGTGGAATGTTTATTTCTTTTTTTTTTAGGTTCCATACATGTTTTTAATTTTAATTTATTTTTTTTTATTTTTAGTTTTCAACATTTACTTCCACAAGATTTTGAGTTCCAAATTTCCACCCCATTTTGCCCCTCCCCCCACCCCAAGATGGCATGCATTTTAAATACCCCTTCCCCTAGTCTGCTTTCCCTGCTATCTGTCCCCCCCCTTCCCCTTTGATTTTCCTGTAGGGCAGGATAGATTTCTGTACCCTATTTCCTGTATTTCTTATTTCCCAGTTGCATGTGAAAACATTTTTTTTAAAGTGTTTTTTTAAACTTTGGGTTCCAAATTTTCTCCCTTCCTCCCTCCCCACCCACCCTCATTGAAAAGGCAAGCAACTCAATATAGGGTATACTTGCGCAGTTATGCAAAACACTTCCATAGTAGACATGCTGTGAAAAACTAACTCTATTTCCCTAATCCTATCCTGCCCCCCCATTTATTCTATTCTTTCTTTTGACTCTGACCCTCCTCAGAAGTATTTGCTTCTGATTACCCCCTTTCCCAATCTGCCCTCCTCTCTATCACCCCCCTACTCTCTTGTCCCCTTCCCCTCCTATTTTCCTCTAGGGTAAGACAGATTTCCATACCCAATTGAGTGTGTAAGTTATACCTTCCTTAAGTCAAATCCTATAAGAATAAGATTCACTCATTTCTTCTCACTTTCCCCCATTTCCCTTCCACTGTAAGAGTCTTTTCTTTTCTGGTTTTTTTTTGTGAGATAATTTACCCCATTCTACCTTTCCCTTTCTCCTTCTCCTAGTATAATCCTCTCTCACCCCTTAATTTTATTCTCCAGATGTGACCCCTTCATCTTCAACTCACCCTGTGCCCTCTATCTATCCATCTATCTATCTATCTACCTATCTATCTATCTATCTATCTATCTGTCTATACATACATATAATAT